TAGTCGAACATGGCCTGCCTGACGTAGCCGACGTCGTGGGGCGGCACCTCCAGGTTGTCCATGCAGTCAAACACCATTTTCACGGCCTGGTGGGCGATCCAGTACGCTGAGGGAGGGGTCAGCGAAGGTTTCACCCCCTTCCCCGGCACCCCCCGACCCTTCCCCGGCACCCCCCGGGGGTCTCACCGGAGCCTTCATCCCCCATCATGTGCCCCCAGCCGCCGCAGCCCGTCTCGGAGCCGTCGGGGTTGATGAGTTTGCAGTTGGAGCCGGTGCCCGAGATGAGCACGATGCCACCTGCGGGGGGACATTGCCGGCGTTGGCGTCGCCCTCCCCGCTGTCCCCATCGCCCCCGGGGCCGTCCCCACCGTGGTCGGTGGCCGTGGCCATGGCCCCCACGGCGTCGGTGGTGATGAAGTAGCTCTGGCTCAGGTGCGGGAAGCGCCGGTGCAGCTCCTCCGTCAGCTTCCCGATGGCGTCCTGCTGGTCCCCGCCGCTCAGCGACAGCCCCTGCCCCGCCGAGGGTCCCCGTCAGCCCCGGGGGTGGCACCGGGGGGGTCGCGGGGTGGGTTTAGGGGGGGTGTGGGGGCTCACCAGCGAGCGCAGGGGCACCTGCGGGTCGGCGCCCGCTTTGCTCTTGGCCTCGCTGACCATGCGCTCGATCCGCTCCAGGCACTTCTCGGAGCCGATGAGCTGCGGCGAGGGCGGGGGGACACCCTAAATTCCACCCAGAGCCCAGCCCGGGGGTCCCACGCGGGTTTTTGGGGCGGGGGGACACCCTAAAGCCCCCCCAGAACCCAGCCCGGCATCCCACGAGGGTTTTTGGGGCGGGGGGATACCCTAAAGCCCCCCCAGAACCCATCCCGGGGGTCCCATGCGGGTTTTTGGGTGGAGGGACAGCCCGGCACTTTCTGCAGTGGCTGCGTCCCACCCAGGTGCCCGGGAGTTTGGGGACAAGCACAAGCGGCCCCTCTGTGTCCCCAACCCCGCTCTGTGTCCCCAAACCCCCTCCCCGTGTCCCCAAACTCCGCTCCGTGTCCCCAAAACCCCGCTCCGTGTCCCCAAACCCC